GGGAAGAGCTTACCATGGATTTCGTTACGGGACTACCCAAATCGAGGGAGCAGCATAATGTGGTTTGGGTAGTTGTGGACCGACTGACGAAGTCGGCTCGTTTCTTGCCCGTGCGGATGACGATGTCCATGGAGCAGCTTGCGAGTATCTATATCCGCGGGGTAGTGCGACTTCATGGAGTCGCCAAGGTCATAGTGTCAGATCGAGATCCCCGTTTTACCGGTCAGTTTTGGAAGAGCCTCAGCGAGGCTGTGGGGACACAGTTGAGGTTCAGTACCGCTTTCCACCCGCAGAACGACGGACAGTAGGAGCGGACCATCCAGACACTCGAGGACATGCTTCGAGCATGTGTTCTGGACCGTGGTAGTTGATGGGAGGAGTTGTTTCCACTGATTGAGTTCGCGTACAACAACAGCTATCAAGCATCGATCAAGATGGCACCGTACGAGGTGTTGTACGGTCGCAAGTACCGATCACCCCTTTATTGGGATGAGGTCGGCGAACGGCAGGTTCTCGGTCCGAAGTTGATCGAGGACACGGTGGAGAAGGTCGCCTTGATCCGTGAGCGGATGAAGGTGGCACAGGATCGACAGAAGCGTTACGCTAACTAGCGTAGACGAGATATCCAGTTCGAGAAGGGAGATAAGGCATTCCTGAAGATCACACCTTTGAGAGGCGTGGTCCGCTTCGGGAAGAGGGGGAAGCTGCAGCCCCATTTCTTAGGCCCATTCGAGATCCTCGAGCGAGTGGGTGAGGCCGCATACCGGTTGGCGTTGCCACCCGAGCTTTCGGGTATGCACAACGTATTCCACGTTTCGATGCTGAAGGATTACGTGTATGACCCAGCGCACGTGTTGAGTTACAGTGAGCTTGACGTCGGGCAGGACCTGACGTACGAGGTGCAGCCGATTGCTATTCTGGACCGAAAGGTTCAGCAGCTGAGGAGCAGAGATGTAGCGCTCGTTCGAGTCCAGTGGACTCGCCACGGCGAGGCCGAGGCCACATGGGAGCGAGAGGAGGAGATTCGTGCTCGTTATCATGATTTCTAGTTCTGATTAGTATTATGTATTTTCGATTCCTAGTTATAGTCGAGTCGGACTTATGATTAGTTTTGGAATTTCCGAGGACGGAAATATTTTAAGGAGGACATATTGTAACGCTCAGATTTTTATATTACTATTTATGGAGCTCGACTATATTTCCATAAATATTAAGTTTCTAAATTTGATGCATTATTTAAATTTATTTGCATTAAATTAAATAATTAGTATCAAAGTCTAAGCCATTAATAATTCTTCCGACTTTAATTATTAAAGTTGGAATTTTATTTAAGTGATCCGAAGCCGGATAATTTAATTATATCGAGCCCAAGTCCAATTTTATTCCAGTCCATTTTAAAATCAAGCAAACAGTCGATTTTAAATCCAAGCCCATTATTAGTAATTATTTCGACCGACTAATTTAATTAGTCCTAGTTCGATTAATATTATTTAGCAAGCCCGAGCATTTCATTTCCTAAGTTCATATCCGATTTATATTCGAACCCAACTCGTAGGATTTTAAAGGCCCGGTTTTGAGCCCATTAAGGGAGAAAACCCTAAGCTCACTTATCTCATCTATAAATAGATGTTCCCCTTTCTCCAACATCCACAAAAACCCTAGCCACTTTTTACTATTCATCTTCTTCCTTGTCAAGATTTCCACCATAGCCACACCATCAAGCTCAAAGTTCATCTCTATACACTGGATCCATGGCTTAAGCTTCACCATCTTCACCATTTCTTCCCGAAATCCGGCGACCCCTAGTGTTTTCCGGTGAAACCGAACTCAAACTCGCGCCGGCATGTCCTCTGCCCGCAGCCGAGCCGCACCACCGCACGCACAACTCTAAAGCCGCCGGAAAAACCTCGACCTCCACTCGCTGCTCCACTGAATGTGCGTTCCAAGCTCAGTCCCAGTTCCTCTCGCGCGCGAACCCGCAGCTCGAGCTCCACCTCCCGGTCACGACCTCCGGCGACCCAAGTTCTTGCGACGACCAGCTGCGCGACCTTCCACCGGCGAGCAGTTCCAGCACCTCCACGTCAAGCCCGTCCATCCCAGCTCGAACCATCATCCTCAACTCGAGCCAGCGGTTCACCGCTCACAGATACGGCGAGCTTGCCTTCATCCGGCCAGCACCTCGTTTTCCCAGCTCACGCCACCAGCTCCGCCGCAGTTAGTGTTCACCAGGCCCGACCAGAACAGTGACCAGCTGCACCATTTCAGATCCGACCCATCTTGCTCCTTTTCCCCTTGTTCTAGCACGATCTTCTATTGTGCTATCCCGATCCGCTCGTTTTCGAGTATTGTGAGGTATAATAACTAGAACTCGATTTTAATGGCTTAGATAAAATATTTGACATGATATAAAATTAATGAATTGGGTGACTTGAGCGATTTTGAATAAAATCGAGATTTTCGGGCTTAAAGCTAATATGTTCGACTTTTTAAATAAATGCGACAAAATGTTGAAATAAATACCATTAAATTCGTTGCGTCGTTTTGAGGCTTAGGTGCAAATTTGAGATTTTTTGGACGTCGTTTGATAGGTAAACGAGCCGGTCAAATGCATTGACCGATCGTAGCGATCTTTAGTTGACTGAGTTAGGAGTTGACTTTTGACTTGAGATGTTGACCATAGACTATATATATATATATTGAGGATGTTATGTTTCAATTTTCGTAAATTTTGGATGTTGTTTGACTTAGTTATAAAAATCGGGACTTTAGATATTAATGCCATAAAAATAAAATATTAGTTTGATTGAGATTTTAGCTGCAGTTGTTGATTTTAAAATCATTATAAATTACATAGAATATATGTATTAATTATCGACCTTAAATGAGTTAAAATTCTTCGAGAATCGAACCCTAGTTTTATCCGGTTCTGATAACCGGGTATTTTTCCGGATCCGATTATAATTGTCTGAACCCTAGTACCGTCTAGATAATCTATAACCGTCGTATCGTAATTCGTAATGCGTATCATCGTCTCGTGCCCGTGATCGCCTCTCGTACGACTGTTGGAGCTGAGCCGCCGAGTGCGTGCCCGTGCACCGAGTCTGAGTCAAACCCCCGAGTGCGTGCCCGTGCACCGAGTCCATCCGACTTGCCGTCTACGCGTCGTTCCATTAGCCGTGGTCCAAGCACACCCCTGCGTCAGTGACTGTGGCACCGTTTTAAACTCGTGCATCGGCTAAGCCGTGTCAGTCGACTTCGTGCCGGCCCGAGTTGCCCCGCCGAACTCGAACCACGGTCGAACCGAGCTGCATATAGTCAAGAGGATGATCGACCGGCTCCGAGTGAGCCGTCGGTCCAGTTCAGTCGAACCGGTCCGGTCAGTCCGGACTGTTCGAAATATATTTCAGATAGAATGTCAGATAAATTTCAGATTTTTAGATATATTTAGGATTTCAGATGTAATTAATATTTCAGATAAAGTTAAGATTCCAGATAGACATTAAGATTCAGATATAGATTAGATTTCAGTCAGATTTTAGTCCAAACTTAGAAATATTTCAGAGAACTCTAGAATGCCTCAACGACGATAATATTTTCAAAATTAGCTCGTAAATCCCTATGATTTTTAAAGCCGAGTGAGGGAACCTGGATATATAAAATATTAAAGATTTGAGTTTTATTCTGAGCTCAGTACTTAGAATACTTCGCTCAATATATTTTGTAGCTTGAGGAGAGTCGAGCCTCCGTCAGCTACCCATTACAGATATATTCAGCATTCGCTTTCGTCAGTTTCCAGGTGGGGACCACGTACTGTGTATTTCATCTCTTTTAATAATTTACCATGTCTGAGATCTATATGTGTTTAAATTTAAGGACCGAGACGGATGAGTGATCCCGTCTTGGTCAATATTTCAGTATTTCAGTTATGACTTGGATGTGTGTGATTAGGGCCCGTCCTAAGTCTAGCGTCCAGATGGGGTGATTAGTGCCTTTCCTGGATTTCTGTGGGAGGGGACCCCCAGAGTGTGCACATGAGTACCGGTTTACCGTTAGTCCCATAGCCAGACCAGTTTATTCATATATATGTTGATTTTATAGTTTGTTATTAATTGTGCTGACTATTCAGTGCCGGTTCCGGCGGAGCACCGTTGATTCCTTTGTGCTCACGCCTCCCCACTACCCTCTTTTTCAGGTGACGGAGCGCGTGCAGCGTGAGCAGATATGTGGTGTTGGTCCAGCTTCAGGATATTTTTGTGAAAACATGTCATATAGTATTTGAACATGTTGAATTATCTATGTCTGTTTATGCATGTGTGTCTTTTGAACTTGTACCTGCTTCCGCATGTTAGACTTGTGTTTTAGATGTCAGATTTCAGACTACTATTTCAGATTTCAGATTATGTCAGACTTTCAAAATATGCATGCTTAATCCGGTATTATTCATGGCCTTAATTCTAGAATGGATTTCACTTGGTCGCATGCATTTAGATTAAAGAGATAAAGATTAAAGATATAAGATTACAGTTGAGTAGCACCCCGTGTTTTAAGTTAAAGTATTTTCGAAAAATTAATACAAGTTTTCGAAAATTTAATAAGTGCTTTCCATTTATAGCACGAAAAATTTATTCTGATTTTAGTAAGTCTAGGCGGGGTGTTACAAATGCACTCCTAAACATTTTAGGAATAAAAATAAAGTACGAGGGAAAATAATCTTGGAACGTCTACAAAATATCCTCAAGTAACCCAGACGCGCCTAGACCGAGGTATTCCCGTCTAGTCTGCGCCTGTTCGTCTTCTCTGAGCGCGCGATATTCTTTTGGTCGCACCTGTGCGCGTTCGTCCTCGCGGACGTGTCCGCTCGGGCCCGCATTGTTCGTAGCCTGCTAGTGCGCGTTGTCTCGTGCGTGCATCTCTGCCTGTCGGCATCCTTCCTGAGTCTGCTTGCGCTCAAAGCATCTGGACTCGGTAGTGACCTGGGCCTTCCTCTTACGAGTTGGATATGTACAACTATAGGTGCTTTTGTGCAATCTTTCTTCATCCGCATCATTTCTGTCCCTTCAAGTGAATCCATGTACTCAAGGATGAAAGATGAAAATTCTCGTTTAAGAGTTCCAATGTCGCGTATTCCTTCGGCAACTCGTCCCACTCAATTAAGACTTCCCAGTGAAACTGACCAACCTTCTTTACTTGTCGATACTCCTATGCACGACTAGGACGTAAAATGAGTTATCCATCCGAAGCTTTTGCCGGGAGGTGCGTCCCAATCTTGTGCGTCTCAACTAAACTTTTCTTCAATTGCGAGACATGTATGACCGGATGAATTTGGGCTTCCTCCGGAAAGTTGAGTCGATATGCAACGTTACCAATGCACTCCAACACTTGGTAAGGCTTGTAATAACGACTTCCAAGCTTATGCATTGCTCTTTGCGAAACCGTGAACTGCCGAAAGGGTCGCAATTTCAAAAAGACCCAATCTCTCGGCTCTAAGTGTTCTTCACATCTCCTCTTTTTGTAGTACGACTTCATGTAGTTGATCGACCCGTGCAAGTTACCTTTGAGCCCTCGAATCATCAAGTCTCTTGCCATCAATTCTCGATCGACCTCATCGTTCAAAGACTTCCCCATCAGATAGCTAACTAGTGTGGGGGCCTCTCATCCGTACACAAGCTCGAACGAAGTGCATTTGGTTGATCTATGTTATGTCGTATTGTACCAAAACTCAGCCCAAGGTAAAAACTCCTCCCACTTCTTCTCAAATTGATGAACATAGCACCGAAGATATTACTCCAAGGTTTTGTTTGTCAACCCAGTTTGTCCGTCGATTTGAGGATGGTATGTCGAACTCATGGATAACTCCGTTCCATGCATTTTAAAAAATTCCTTTCAAAAGTTGCTCATAATAATCCGGTCTCGGTCTGAAACGATCGACCGCAAAATCCTATGCTTGGTAAGCCCATATTTAACATCTCCTTAGGGTCTCTACTGTAGCCATATAAATAGACCAAGTCTGAAGCCTCTAAACAATAAAAAAGAGAGAGAGACACACGCACAACTATTCTTTCTTATGAGAAAATCCGGTTCTTCATCTTATTCTAGAGAGTGTGTGAGATTTGAGAGCTTAGTTCAATTTGTCAACCAAGATTGTTTAAAGAAGGTGTTTTGGGTAATACAGTAGAATATTTTTTGGTCTTTTATTCGTATCAAGTGCAATGTACACGAACCCCGTAATATTTCTGTAATTCGTGAGGTTGTCCGTTCTACACGAAAATCGAGAATTTAGACCACTGGAACACATGAATCATCATTCCACATCTGCAGGAGTCAGCAGCGTGATCCGATCCCTGGCTTGCCAGCCGCACTCTGGTCGCGCTCAGCTGCGCCCTGGCCGTGCGCATACCCGCAGACCTATTCCACTGCGAGCTGACCCGCAGCATCCCCCGTACTCCTCGCGCGACCCGTAGTCGTCCCAGTACACGACCCGCGATGTTCTTGCATACCCAGAGACCCTTGTGCTCCTGTCTCAACGTTACAGTGTCACTCGCGCTCCTGTATGGCGACCTGCGCACTTCTCGCACGACCCGCAGCGCCCAAGTGCAACTCGAAGGAGGATCCGCGAAGTTCTCGTGCCACCTCTGTTAGAGTAGGATACCCGGCGTTCCAATCGGATTGGACGTATTCTACTTGTAAATATAATCTATTGGAATTATATTATTAATAAGGCATTAGTTTATCTTAAGAGTAAGCTTTTATCCTATAATTGCACTTAAGATAAAATCCCTAGATCACTTATGGTTATAAGGTATGGTTGCGCATAGAGATGGTGATCATGGAACATAACTTGAAAGCTGTGATCTTAAATACTGTTCCAAGTCGTAGGATGTTTCGAACTGGAATATCGAATAATCCGGAAAAGACTTGCACATATGATGTATGCTTGTTGGACAAGAATGTTGTATTCCATCAACATTAGCGTGGGACGCAAGTACATATATGTGAGTGCTTGTTAGAGAACAAGTTCACTGAATATGACCATATGAAAATTCTTAATGAAAGATTTTTCTTGTCGAATAAGAATTTTCATGTTACAATAGTACATGACTAATCCTTAGACTTGAGGCACGATGGTAACTTTGTGCATATTATATTCTACTTTGATTTATCCTTTTGGTAGCTAGCACAATCGTATACAGGGATATTTTGGGTATTATATTAATATGTA